CAAGATTAAAAGCAATATGGAGTAAACAATTTTAAAATAATGCACAGTTAGCTTTTAAATTATCCATCATTCATGCAAAATGCTGAAGAAACTGAAGAAAATGAGATCATCTCTACACATAAGGCAATCTTGTACAATAATATCTCAGTTTTGGCAAAGCAGAAAAATAATGAGATGAATTATAAAACTATATCACATTGTCCATGGTAAGGGAATAATCAACATTTGCTTTACAATTACTTACTTACTTTGTCTGGGTGGCTACATGCTTGGAAAGTTTGAGAAAAGATGGAGGAGGAGCGGGGGAGAAATAGCACTGAGTCTGTCAAGAAACAGATTTTGGAAAAACCTAATAAAACAAATCAGAGCATCAGGATTGTGGAAAGGACAACAACTATGGAATTTGGCATAAATTTATCACATACTCCAACCAAAACAAGGACAACTCATGGGACACTGGAAAGCTCTGCTGTGCTAAATTGCAATACTTACAAGCAAACTGAAAGAACAACTAAAGTTTTTAACAGCAAATTTTACTAACTCCTTGTATGAGCTTTATGAAGAAGAAATAAAAGATAAGATGTGATCATAGTGCATCCCATAAATAGTTTGAATTAAGTATTGATTATTTAATGGGTGGTAATATTTTTAATGAGTGTGTGTGTGTGTGTGTGTGTGTGTGTGTGTGTCGAAAAGAATCAGTCACTTTAAAAGAAAAAGAAAGGAGGAAGCTTCTTATGAATGGGATTGTGGCCTTGAACAGCCTCTACACCAGACTGGGAGGGCAACAGAGTTTTAAGAAACAGAACTAACCATGAATTGCATCTAGAGGAAAAAGGCAAGAGAACAACAAGAGGAAGATAGCAGAATGCAATAGTGGCTTGGATAATGCAATGACGAGTGGATGAAGCCCTTTCCAAGAAAGGGAGGTGTGGAAGAACGAGGTCTCCAGGGTGAGAAGAAAAGTCAGCATGAAGGAGAAGAGCATCTTCTGCTTTGCCTGAGAATGTTTACCATTCATTCCCACCACTCATGTCAAGTCAGATTAATTTGCTTGAAGATATTAGTCATTGCGAACATAGGAAAATGACGTGCCCTTTACACCAACGGCACAATAGAAAAAGGAACATAATATTACAGTTAATTATAAATAAGCAGTTCCCAGTAGACCGTACCATATTTTATGAAGCAAGTTCATATCCACTTGCCTAGATGCCCATGTTCCTCAAGACTCTGGGCAGAGCCCCCAAGCACCACCGAGCTCTTTTCCCCTGCAACCTTCTGCCATCCTTTGCAACCACTTGGGCACTGGAAAATGCCACTCTCATTCAGCTGGAACCCCCTCCCTGCTCCTCTCGGGCTTTGCCTTTTGCCGCTGAGCCTCAGCCTGAGGCTGAGCAGCCTTTTAGGCCAGGAGCAGACACCTTGTGGTCCAACCGCATCTGCAGGGCCACGAGATAACAGAGGCGATCAAGAGGGGTGCTGCCTATTATATTCGGTGGGATACAAGTATTACAAACAGACCACCACCAGATGGGTCACACGTTCCCCTCGCTTGATCTACTTGTAGAAGAAACGTGCACAAGCATATCCAGTCTTCCAGCACATCTTGGGAAGACCAGCAATGGTGAGGATTCCCTGGTTGACCATGCCCCACGGTGGGAAAGAAAAAAGACTCGTTGGGTTGCCACCTTAGGCATTAAAATGCCTTGAGCCCTTGCGGTTTTCTGATCACATCCGGAACACACATGGCAGCACGGCAGCCCAGTTGGATCAGGTGACCTGGGGAGCCCAGAGGGGGCCTGATGACAACAGGGCTGGCACCTTCCACTGCTGCCTTTGGAATGCCATCCATGCTGGCCCTGGACTGCAGCAGTGGTCTGTAGACCCTAGACTGGCCCTCTCCTCGTGCATCAGAAGCATGGACCTGCAGGACCATCACACCTGCTGTGCTTACGTGCTTCTACCTTGAGCGTGTCACCTTCGGAGGTGATGACAAACAGCACCATCTCCTGTTTTTGCCATGTTTGGAAACGTTAAGTTCTAATTTTGTGCATGCTTGCGCAAAAACCAGTTACCAGCAGTGGAAAATTATTCTAATTTCCCCTCATGCCTGCTCATAGCAATACTGTCTCTGTGGTATTGCTTGGATTGCTTCTTGAAAACTGAATGTTCAAAAGTTGTTTGGCCTGAGCAAAATGGCTGGGTTTTTAAAGGAAGTGTGTTGCAGTTTTTGTTTTTCCTGGAAGGGAATCCCACGGATCACTTGTGGCAACGCAATGTGAAAATGGTGCTTTTGGTCCTGAGAAGGCAGAACAAGCATCCAAGTCCACTCACGCACACAAAGAGTAGACCAGTTGTTACTTACAGGGGTGAGCTGACGTGCAATTCAAAGGTACACTGCAGAAGGTTCACGGGGGCACAGAGAAGTGCAGAGGCTTGTATCAACAACAGGAATACTCAGAAGGAGCGTGAGCATTTTGGAAGCTATGCAGCCTCAGCCTCATTTACTGCTGTGCTGAAGGGCAGCCTAGAAATTGCACGCAAAGTGCTTCCTTAGCTCCCAAGGTAATAGAAAAAAATAACTGAATTCACATTGGATTTAATGTTCCCACTTATATCCAGCCTTTTGGTCATACTATATGCTTACCTATTTTTCCCACCTTGGTCTCAATAGATAGCTTCATCAATGGCTGAAATAAGTCATTTGGGGGTATTGTAAGAGTAGGGTGGAAATCGAGAAGGATGTGTTTTAAAATCAAATGAATGTTCCGATTATTCACATATTGTATTGTATCGTATCGCAATATACTCTGCTTATAGCCTGCCTTTTTCCCTACCCGGCACCCAGGCTGACACATTTGCTTGAGGGTTGCAAGAGATGCACTAAGATCAGGGTATCTTCCCCCTCCCCAGCCCACCTCTCTGGAGCTAATAGCAGATGGGGAGCTTTGGACTGGGGACCCCCCCACCCCCCCACACACACCGCTTCCTATGTGGGAAGCAGCAGCAGTGCGGCCCAAAGGCCCCTGACGGGCTGTACCATGCGGTGCCCTGCCCATGACAAGCGGCTGCAGCTACTCAAGCAATTTTTCTAAAACATCGCTTCACAGATCGTTTTAAAAAGTAGGGCTGGGCCAAAGATGAGCGTGTGGCTCTCACACGCTAGGAAGTGCTGCACTTTGCAGATAAAGACCAAGGGCATCCAGAGACTTCTACCCCCGGAAGTAGTCAAACAAATGATTTTGGAGGGGACGTCGCCCAGTTCCTGAATCATTGGCTTATTATGCACTGGCCAGAGCACAATCCTAAAAAGTATGCATTCTTCATAACGGAAGCATTATCGCATGGGTGTTAGTTACTGAGTACAACCTATCTTTTGAAAACTGGTTCTTGTATTGTAAATTGCAGTCTCTTGGAAGTCCAACTTTTCTCCACTTGACCCCATGGTGCAAAATGTTTGAGTTTTGTTAAGAAAAGAAAGGTGTATGGTTGAGATTTTCCAAGGTCTGTAGATCACACCTCAAAACAGACACAAAACCTACCTAGAGTTAATGTTACATGTTGCAAGCACTGTGAAATGTGGGCACCAGAGGGCGCAAACGCACTACCTCTGGTTATTACTGGAAGGCTGTTCACCCAGGTGCTTTAGGGCATGGGATGTGGTCTTATTCATGGAAGGCTACCAAGGTGTGCATATGTCAAAAGACTGGGTGCAGGTGCTTCCCAGAAGGGCACCAGAAATGGTGATCACACCCAAAGGCTGCCAGCTATTACACGCACTCACAGAATGTGCAACAGAAAGGGAGTAATTTGGGAAAGAAACAGATTCCGAAGAGGTTGAGATGGCCACTGCAGAAACCAGAGGCAGGAATCCAGCTCCATATACCTAGCCTAGCCCAGGCGGAAGCCGTGTTCTGCACAACCTGACTCTGTAACAACCATGGCGATCCCATAGAGGGACTGGGTGTTACCACCAGCCATGGATTCATGGATTCCCTTCCGCAAGAAACAACCATTTTGCTCTAATAGAAGCCTGCTGAAATGCAAACGGAGATAGAATTCCCCTGCTTGGACATCTGCAGACTGATGGGCTCATGCAGAACGCAAGTAGCTCTTGGTGAGAGTGCCGATTTTGGCTGGAGGTCACGCGTCTGAACAGCCCGTCACACAAAACCACCAAACTCCTTGCACATAAACAAGTAGCACAGCACACCCACTCTGGTCAGGTGAAACAGAGGTGAAGCTAATGCAAAGGGGCCGTTTCAGTACTGGCAGCCCATGCCCCAAATATGGAATAGCTTCCTCCGAGAGGCTTGCCCGAGATGACGATTTGGTGCCAAGCGTAGACCATTTTTATCTTCCTAGATCTTTTAAAATCTGCCCTGCAGCACAATTCGTTGCATGTCTACGCAGAGGTAACCTAAGTTCAGCTGGAATTCGGGTGTGCATAGAATTGCAGCCTACTCAATTATACCCCACACTTCCTCCCAGGGGATATACATGCCAAGGGGGTCTGTCATCTGGGTGGCCTATAGGGCCAAAAGGGCTTAGCTTCAGCACAACTACTTCACATCCTTAACAGTAACCCACGGGTTGCTAATGAATCAAACAATAACAGAAAGTAGAGCAACCTGTATTAGAACGCAGGGTTGCAATAAAGCCTATAATGGGCGAATCTGTACTTACAACAGGAAGTGCTTCACACAGTATGCTGTTAAAACTGCAGAATTTGCAAGCACAAAGGTGCAGTGAGGCCCACCCACCTGAACAGCTTTAAAAAGAGCTTAGACTAATTCATGCAGAGCAGCTCCAGGCCATGATGATTACATACTGCCCCAGGCGCAGAGGGGGAACCAACTGGGGGAGGGCAGCTGCTTCCGTGTCCTGCCTGAATGCTTCCTTCTGGCGAAAGATGAGCCAGAGGTGACCAGACTGGATGCAGATGTGTAGTGCATGTCAGAATTAACACACCCCACAGACTACCAGATTGCTTGAAATCTTTTTGAAAGGTTTTTATTTACAGTGCTAAACAATATATATATTTATATTTCTCATCCTCATTATGTTTGTGCCATAGAAAATATTGCAGATGGGTCTGCTTTAATTTACAAAGAAAAACAACTTGAAGGGAGAAATCAAAATTTGGTCCCTAATTAAGATAAAACAAATACACACACACACCCCAAATGAGGAAAACACACTGGGTCACATATTACTTTACACATTAAAAACAAGCCTTGCCCTCTGGAGGAAAAAAAGTTCACCAGATCCAGCTTGCTACCATGTCAATTTGTACAAAATGTTATCCATTAAAAACTGTCAATTTTATTTAAACGTGTTTTATGGTATTCGTTAAGAGAGTGTGGCCTTCTCCCTGCTATGGAAAGGGAGCCGGGCACAGGAGAGGATACATGGCTGCAAAGACCCCCTGCCCCTCCTTTTCCTCTGCCCCAGATTTGATTCAAACCTTTCAGCACCACAATTTTTCCACATGTGTATGGAATTCTGTAAAGGGCTGAAGAAAGGAGGCGAGAGGGCAGAAGAGGTGCTGAAAGTAGAGGCATGGAAGGATCTCAGGCAGCAGTTGCAGGAACAGGACGGAGGAGGCTGAGTGTCTAGGGACTAAGGTTCGTTAAAATGGAGAGGGAATCGGCAGCTTGGGATGTAGGGGACCACAGGGAGCACTGTAAAAAAAAGGAACAGGTCTGGGGGGGGGGGTCTGGAGAAGAGCTCTATGCAGCTTCCTCTGCTTCGGTCAGCAAGCATGTTTAACCCCTCCTCTTCCTCATCCACTGGTAGCATCACTTAAGTGCCTGCACAACTGGAGGAATGAAGGTTGGAGGACAGATGGATGGTGGTGAAGAGGACGGGGGCGGGGGGGGGGAGTCAAGCTGAAGAGCCGTTTTCTGTCTTCTTTCTCTTTGGGTCCACTTCATCCTGCACAGAAAAGTATGGGCACATTGGGTCAGATGTTCATCGGCATCGTGAAAGATCTTTGCACGTTCTGTTGGCGTCACAAAAGTACAGATGAAGAGTAGAAAAATGGGTACATGCAGCTGTGAAGATCCTGTGCTTCCCTTGGGCCCGCAAGGCTTCTTTTCAGGGACAGGAAATCATGTAACAAAATAGACCTCACCATAGTGCCAAGAGAACAGGATGCCCCCCCACACAGAGAGCAAGAGTCGAGAACTGAATTTTAGTACCATCTAGAGCAGAGGGCAAAAATACTGACTTCACTGGCATGAGTCTTGGTCCTACTTGTCTCAGGGCCTATCCAGCATGCATGCCCAAGTCACCATTTCTGTTTTGTCCAAAACGATGAATAACGGGGGCAAGAGGTTTTCTCCAGGAAATAACATACTACCATGCTTTTTTTTGGATAGTAAGTCCACCATTTGTATACTCATAAAGGGCAAGACAGTGCAAGGCCATCTACTGCACACTGAAGACGCGAACTGTGTGTCAACTGCTGTGAAAGGCGAGAGCAGAAGTGCCACGTAAAACTGCTCCTGGTGGCAGTGCAGCTGTTGTCATCACTGCGTTGCTGCATCCCACAAAGGCACCACAATGCCATTAAGAGATGATGCCCTCCTATGCGCCATGAGGAAAGAACCAGTTCCGGAAGATTCCTAGTGCAATATATGCATGGAAGAGGCTGGAGGAGGGGAAAGCTACGTTCTTACCTTGCCCTGTTGGCAGGAAACTAAGAAAAAGTTTGACTATCTGGATCCTGGGCCAGTTTCTGCCTCACCCATTAGCACAGCCTTCCCCAGCCTGGACTAGATGTGTTGAACTAGAACCCCCATCACCTCTTCCACCTGCCATACAAGCCGAGGATGGTAGAAGCAGGAGGCATCAGGCTGGGGAAAGCTGTTTGAAACCATACAAGTTTCTAGATGAACTGAGAGAGGAGGAGGCAATCAAATGCGTTCAAAGGGTTTCTGTCACCAAGTGTGGGCTAATAACTCCCTTCACAGAGGACATGGTTTAGTTTGTAACACTGCCAGCTGTCCAGCCGTTCTGAACTCAATGAAGAAGCAAAGTCTCCGCAGTTCCAGAGACAGATGTTAAGAGCGTGGCACTCAGGACCTGGACCATGGCACAGCTGGGTGCTGCCCGAGGATGAACAGAACCTGCTTGCTGGCCTTCATACCCAGGTCGGTTTCGGATGTGACCCCTGCTCACGTGCCCATGGTTCCCAGGATTTACCAGCAAGTATCCATGGCCCTAATTTACCCAAAGAGGAAGAGGCCCGGATTAATGCCACAAATGGATTATCCCCACTCTGTTCATCACAGCCAGTCTGCTTATGAAATTACGAACACAGCAACAGCCGCAGTGATCGCCCCGACTGGACTGAGGTGCTTGCAAGACTGAATCATGATGCTATGTTCTACATCACGGTCCCCACACCCTCCCAAAACCGAATCCTCCCACTCTTGCTTTCCTGAAGGTGGTTTCTACTGACCTCTTCCTGCTTCTTCTCTGCGGATCGTTTTACTGCATGTGAGTCTGGCTCCTGTTCATTCTCATCATCTTGGAATTAATGGGGGGAAATGGAAATCACAGTCAACCATACATGGAATTCAGTGATGTGTTGCCTTACAGTACAGCTCACCCATTGCACTAACAGCTCACCCTCACCTTCATCATCTTCTTCATCCTCATCTTCGACATCCTCAGGATTTGCATCCTCATCATCCTCCTCCTCCTCGGCTCCATTTTCATCATCCTGCAGGAGGCAAACCCAGAGCAGAAAGCATCCTTGGCCAGCCGAGCAGATCACAGGCACTGTTATTGCCACGCACCCAAGTCCAAACTGCCTTCCCTGGAGCTTCTCACTGCATTGCCTCACAAGCCTGGGGGGACTCGTGTGGGATTTTGGGGGGGAGGGCACTGGGGCACACAGGTGCACACTCTGCACGCTCGATTCTCTCAGCACCTGTTCACAAACACCCGGACCTACTACTGATCAGTGCTGCACTCACAGCCATGGTTATTCTAAGGATATGGTGGACTGGTTTATCAACAACAATTACCTCTTGAGCATCAGGTCCAAATTAGACGACATGATGCAGGAGATCCAGGTACAGGATCCCCTTGGTTTCTGTTTTTCACAGGGCCGTGGGGGTGGCGGAGAGACACAAAGAGACAAGTACAGAGAGGTGCCAGTCCTCAGAGTATCTGGTTGCCCAGTGCTGGAAAAAGAAAGCTGCACCAAAGGTCTGTGCACCTAATTCCCACAGCCCTCCTTGTGATTTCTTGAAAACCCTGTTGCGCATCACCGCTTCCTTTTGCTTTCGGGACGTCATTCACAGCTGATTTTAGCTGATGTGGAGAGCACATGAACTGCGGCCATGCTGTCAAGATTTCCACTTTTATTCATCTTCTAGAAATGCCTAGACTCATCGTGCCTGTAACTTCCCCACTCTGCACACTAAAGGTCTCTGAGAGGTATTTTAGGCTCTGGAGAAGAAAATGCTATGCTCGTTATTTCTAATCCTTAGCGCCACCAAGTGAATGCTGCTAACTCTCAGCCCCGTCAGATCGCCTTCTTTCCATCACACGCTCTGAACTGTTGTAGCCTGCAGCAGCTCTTACTTTTCATACTGTGGTTCTTTGGGGCAGCTAGAATTGTGGGCTACTTCCCCCTAGTGGAGACTCTGTTACAGGGAAGCGGAAAACGGCCACCAAAAACACAGCAGATGGAAATCTACCACCTTTCCACTGCGACATCATGCATAAAAAAGCCTCTTAGAACACCTGTTTCCCATGCAACACTTAAGGGCCAAGCAGCTTTGCCTGCAAAACCATCAAAACACTACAAGATCCCAGCCAGCATAGAGAAGTCCTACAGGCTTCCCATTCTTTGATGCTATTAATCATGGCCGGGATCCCCGGAGGCAGAACCTGGCGGCCTTCCTTGTCCCTCTGGCCTTTTACTAGCTCATCCCCTTCTAGTGCCTCATGTAGCTAAGCCTTTTCTCCAACTCCAAATGGCTTCCATTTTCCGGTTCTGGAAATCTCGGCTGGCGGACACTCCCTGGCATCTTGTGCATTGCCCAGCCTGCTTTCCTGGATCTTTGCTGGATTGCACTCATCATCCAAGCACTTCCTTAGGGAGAGTCCATGTGTAGACAGAAATAGGAGCTGCTCCCACTCTGGAAACTGCACTCACTATGCTTTTGTCAGAAGAATTCTCTCTTGCAGATCAAGCTCAGGAGAAATATATTCTGCTGGTTTAAAGCAGAAGCTGCCTGGAAGACTGCAGGCTAGCAGGGTGCTTGCACCATCACAAAGGCAGAAAGGAGACAGACACACAGAGACAGACACACACACACACCCCCTGCTGGCTCATTTTAAAGGTTTGTTTCTGCACAGCCTCTCCCCATAGCCTTCTTTCTGGTTTCATCCTTACCAAGCCCTCTCACCCCTGCATTTCTCCACCAGATACATGCCTGATTACCTCTATTATCTCCTTCTTTTCTTTGCGGGCGGACTTCTCCTCATGTTTCTCTTTCTTTTCTTTCAAGTCCTAAAAGATAGGATGAGAAATTTGTCCATTTAATATTGAAGGGACTTGAGAAGGAACTAGTATGAGAAGACAACGGCAAAACAGGAAAACTGGTGAAGGAAAAGATGCAACTCCTTCATTGTATTTAGAGAACAAAGAGTGAAATGAAAAAGACAGCCAAAAGAAATTAAAAAGGAAACATTGCCTTTACAGTGGCTTTATAGATGTATTTATTTACCTATGATGCACCACTGAGTACAACAGCCTGCCTCTTGGAGGCAAATAAGGAAGAAACGGGCAAGCCATTAAATCCATGGAAGCCTCGTTATGGAAGACTAACTGACCACATGGCAACATGATCACTAGTTGTGGCAAAATTTACTTGCAGCTTGAGGCTGATCATCCAAACCCGCACCCTTCCCCACCAACTAAAATGCAGCACAACGCAGCAGCCTGCAGCCATGTAGCTCTCCTTTTTACTGGGTGCTGCAGCACGTAAGGGCTTTCCAGTGGATCATGTCTTTTGGGTTAGCATCATTTGCCTCCCGCTTCAGCACTCACTCTGCAATGCAACTTGGCTGCCCACCTCTCCGCACCATTACGCTCTTTCTGAATCAGTAGCTGCAGCATTCACAATGCAAGATGCTGGCATGCTGCAGATCAAAGGGCTGGCCAAGACCACCTGTATTTGGGTGCACAAAACGGTGCTTTGGAGGCCCCATCTCTGCCTTCTACTTAAGAGCTTTGTCTAAAGACTTGTGCTCCTGAATTTGTTTAATCTCATCGGCTTGCCTGCTGGGACTTCCGAAGCCAAGCATGGCAGCCAGTTTATGACTGCTACCCACCCCCTCCAGCTCCCTTGTGCGTTCGCACAACACTCATTCAAAATTCCATCAACTCAGAAAGGGTGGAGGTCCCTGCCTTAACCCTTCTTTAATACCTGCATTGGAAAAGTGTGCCGTTTTATGTACAGAAATAATATTCCAATAATGTCTGTTCGAGAGGCCTGCGCACAAAGTCTAAAGAAAGGCTTATCTGGAAGGAACTTGGGCACAGGCAGTATGAGAGGAGGGGAAAGTGCCTGGGGGTCCCTCTAGGGTTTCTCCTTCCATGGGTATTGAAGCAAGGAAATCTGCATACTTTGTTAAAAATCTTGATTTGTGCTAGTGCTGAGCTGTGGCACCAGTTCCAGGGAACACCCCTCTGTGCACTGAACCAACTTCACCTTAGTATGGGGATGGGTGACCCATGAGGACAGATTCACATCTTCTGTGGCCCCCACTTTTGCAGCTTGTGGGGACAGCAACAGCAGCGCCAGAACTGCCAAAATGACAGGGCAATGGCAGAAAAGTACATTTCCACTCTAAAACAAAGCTCATGGGGAGCATACACCTTGTTTTCAATCCCCTCTTGTTGCTTTTTTCCTGCCACTGTTGCACAGTTGAATTTTGGCAGCAAAATCAAAAGAAACGCACAATGTCTGAGGAAGGGTGTGGCCTCTGGGGGGTTCTGGGTGGCCAAATAAGACCCCAACCTGACTGAAACTGCCACCTCCCCCTTACTGTAAGCCAATACTACAGGCAAATCCTAACTGTGAGATGAAGAACTGTGGGAAGTGGCCTTAGTGGTAGGAGCAGGCAGCACACAGGCCAAATGCGGCTCTCCCACTCCGCTGCATTTCCTGCCATGGGGTCGGGGCTGGAACGGCGATTTTGCAAGGAAACCTGGGAGTTATTCTGTTTGCAAGCAAATGCAGCCTCCCCCTGTGCCTTGTTTTCTTGCATAATTGTTGCTCTTTTGATGTCAGCTATTTGAACAGCAGCAGAGGTGGAATGCAGCCCTGGGTAGGTTCCATGGAGGCAGTGTGGTCCCTGGCCCGTGGACATTGCCTACACTGCTCTACCTGAAAAAACATCCTTTCTAGATGGGCTATCCCAAGCTTTTCCACTAGGGGGCACAGTGTCCTTTCCTGAGGTATGACACCTTCCTTGAGTCACAGGAGACAAAATACTGGCCTAGATACGTCTGAGACTCACCTAGATTGACCATTCTGGTGTCATACCAACATCTGCATCTCCACTGCTAATCCTTTAAGAGGAACCTTATTCTACACATTCAGATTCAAGGAAGGTTCTCCGTTAAAAATTAAAGGCTCCAAGCCATTTTCTCAGCTGACTCATGTGCCCCCCATGGCTCAGAGCCAGAATCCCTGGAAGTTTCAGGTAAGGCAAGCATGGATTCTCAAGACTGCCTCTTACAGAGGCCCTAGACCAGGGTGGGTGGCCCAGGGCTCTCTGGCGGTCTTCAAGAATCTGCTACTTCCGATCAGGTCAGATCATTAGCAGCAGTGATCTGCCTGTTCCTTGGCAGCTCCCTGTATGGGAAGGAAGAGGGCAAAGGGGTGGCAGAAAAGGATGATCCTCCCAGTTTTGGTTTTGGCTCTACTCGCAGGCAGCACACAGCTCCCAACAAATTACACAAGAAGGAATGCTGGGCTCAGCAGAAAGAAATAAGCCGGGGGGGGGGGCTCCCACCCCTGGTCCAAATGATGCTGTCTCCAGTTTGTAGCCTTCCGATTCTTTTCCACTGGGTCCACCATCCCTTTCCTTACTAGAAAACAAATTGGAGGCAACAGCAGAACAATACAGTTGCACAATGCCTTTTGAATCAATGGGTCCAGTTAATCAAGACTAAACAGACTCATGGATTTCAATGGATTTACTTGAAGGATGGCAAAGTCTGGATCTAATCCAATGAACTGTCCTCGACACTGTTCTAGAACTTTCTTTATAAGACCCTTACAGGTTTCCACACTCCCCACTCAGTTGTAGCCATTTTCTAAAATTTCCACTGGAAGGCTGATACCCTGACTGTTATTATACAGTGGTTCTAACCCACAAAGCTTCCTGGAACTGATGTAGGATGCAAGATCTGTCCGGGACTGTCTCAGCAGGATGCAAGGCAGCCAAAAGGAAAACAAGAGAGACATACTGGGGAAAGTGTTATGCTCCATCCACCTCTGCTGATGACACAATAAACCACGGAAAGTAAGACCACAAAGCAAGGGGCACCGTAGAGCAGGGCTTTGCTTCTGAACAGATTACACGTGGTTTTGCCCTGTCAAAAGAGCAGCCTTTTCCTGTGCATAGAAGGGTCTTTTTCCAAGCTCCAGTTCTATCTTTGGTTTTCCGATTCAAACCGAGAAAGAGAAGCAGAGGAAGGCTGAGCTATATGCAATATTTAACCTTTATCCCCATGTCCTCAGCTGCTCTTTGGGTTGCTTTAATTAATAATTTCCCCTGCAGCACCAGAGGTGAGGGACCTGCACAATTATCAAGATAACATTGTGCAAGCCCCAAGTCCTGGAACACAGATTATTTACTCTTTGCCTTTCCAAGGTATCTTCCCCTCTATTCAGATACAAAAGAAGCCTCTTTGCCCTGACTGGCACCCTCATGTAGCCAGGAAAGAGGCAGGCAATGCAATCCTATGCATGTTTACTCAGAAAAAAGTTCCACTCTCCCAGATAAACGTGCCTAGGATTGCAGGTTTAAGACGTAGGCGTTCCAGTCTTAATACCGCCGAGGGAAACAGCTAAATGAGTAACTCTAGTGGGATTTCTATCTCCTGATTCATTTATTCTTGCCCCTTTTCCTCCCTCCTACTTTTCTGCCCGGAATGATTCTTAAACGGTTCGGGTCCAAAAAATATATCTGGGAGCAAGTCCCATTCACGCTGCCTTCTACCACCCCTTCCAGGAGCCATGTGGCTTTTTGCGGCCGTGTTGTCTTCCACTTTGGAGCCACCTTTCCCCACAAGTCGCGAAGACAACTCACTTTTCTGCATCAATGAACATCAGCATTCCAATTAAAGCAAACAGCGTTTTTGCAAGATAAATAGTTCTCACGACGCGATTACACGTGCGCCCGCTCTTACACGCACGTGCACAGCAGAACATGCTGCCAAAGTCAGGAACAAAGCGGTTTTTCGCCTCTTGATGCTTTCAGAGACAAGAAACATGGTTGCGGAGAGGGACCCATATGTTCGCAACCTGGCAGGCGCTCGCGCGCGCACGCACGCACGCACGCTCCTTAATTGCCTTCCATCTTTTCCTGGCTTTGTGTTGTTCGCCTCCGCCTGTTTGTTTCCTAATAAAGCGAAACCGCTTAGACTCCACGGTACTCCCGCTGAAGAGCCGGGTGGGAGGCATAGCTCCTTTCTTTAACGCTGTATCCCTTCCTAGCCCTTAGCTCATGAGGGCGCCTGAGCCGAAGGAGAAACCCCCGTATAATTAGCAGGACGTTAAGAGAGAAAGAGCGAGCGAGCGAGCGACCTCGGTGGAATCGTGATTTCAGGCTTTGCACGGCCCGGGCCACTCCTCTGACAAGTGCAGTTCTCCCGCCTCAAATCCAGGGACCTTTGGCAGAAAATAAACACTCGCTTGGCCAGCCAAGCGCATTTGGGGTTAATGGCCACCGAAGCGAGGGGCGCGGGGAGGGGGCGAGGACGCAGTGCCCACACACGGCTCTGCTCGCCGGAGCGCGTAGTTTTTCCCAACCCGAGCAGGGCGGACGCAGTTCATTTCCAGGGGAGCAAGCAAGGAAGACGCCTGTGCAGGCAGCCGAAGGGCGCGATACGGGGAGGGAGGAGGACAAGCCGGGAAGGAATGCAGAAAAAGAGCGGCAAGGCGTGCCCAAGCAGCCCACGTCGAGTCTTCTCCCTCCGTAGCTGCGTTCCCGCAAGTCTCCGGGCACTTTCCAGCCATCCCTGCACTTGGGACTACCCGGAGCTCCTATTCTACCCTGCCTGTGACAGCAGCGGCAGGCTAGTCCCCGGGTCTTCTCGGTCTGACCTTCTCACCTTGGCCCCGAGCTCTACCGGAGCCTCCTTCTCGGGCTTCTCCGACATCCTGGGGGAGGCAGGGGAAGGAACAAAGCGGGCGAGAGCGCGCACGCGGGGAAGGCGCTTGGCGGGGGGGAACCAGGTGCAGCTCCGAGCGAGGCTCTCAACTAGCCCACAGCCGCTGCAACTGTAGTCCCGAGCGCCACGGACCAGATCCTCCTCTCCCGCGATGAGGCTATGCCAGAAAAAAGGATTTATACTCTGCTCGGTGACGAGGAAGGCAGGGAGGGAGGGGCCTGCCGAAAGGGAGGAGGGCTGGGCGGGAAGAGGGATGCTTGATTAGAGGATCAGGCAGGCCGGGAGGGAAGAAGAGTAATGCATGTCCCGGGAAGAGGGGAGGCTCGGCTTGGCTGAACAAAACATCTTTGCAAGCGGAGGGCGAGGGAAGGTTACATGATCCCGGGCTGATACTGGAGGCGGTCCTGAGCTCTTCGGGAAATCTCCGCTGGGTGCTTCGGCTTCCAGCCCTTTGTCCTGCCCTTCGCCCGCGCCTCCTACACAAGATCTGTGTGCACACGCGCCTTTGTAATACTCTGCTCTACACGATCCGGAGCAGCCAGACTCCAGTTACTGGTTGTGTACCACAATTCCCGCCACAGCTTTTTGAGGCGCCTCATTCAGCGAGGCTTAGCAGATCCACCCAACCACTCCTGGCTGTGACAGAAAGGAGGGATGGGTCAAGGGCGGTGTTCCAGCTGCAGTTCGAACCAGAGCTCCCAGCTCCTGTTGTGGTGGGAACCTGCCCACAGCAGACCCAATACGCACCGCATCCCAGTGTGTTCTGGAAACAATGTGAGAACTGGGCCAGGTCAGGGCCTGGTCACATGTGCCATCTGAGACTCTGCACATATTCAGTGAACTGGAGAATGCACATTCTGTTACACAGTCCAGGGTTTTGCTGGAGCAGAATGGAGTCATGCTTGGTTCTTAACCAAACTTTTCTGATGTTTTGCTCATTCTTAACGGAAGGTGGGATGGAAGCCATTTAGCATCTATCACTGCTCATCACACAAAGTGATTGAAAGGCTGCTCTTCCCATCCAAATGATTGATTTGTACCAAAGCAGAGAACAGTTCTTTTCAATTAATTGGTCTGCAATTAAAGGACAACATGTATGCTTTAGGTGTAACGATGTTCATTTCATACATGGGGTCACATAGTGATAAGAACAAAGCTTCTGCTCCTCTTTCTTCCATCCCAGCACACTCAAGCAGATTCACAATGTTGAGAAATGAAGAAATGATGACCAGTGAAAGCTGTTGAAGTTTAGACCGCAAGACGACCTTATAGCCTTAACTTAAGGCTTCTCCAGAAGTAAGAAGATATGGCCTGTTAAACAAGCCCTGTTTGTTACTGCTCACCAAGGTGATGGCTTGCCTTTGTGAAGGGTCCACTTGATGATGGTGCTCCAAACATAAAAGCGTTTTCCAGGCAGACATTCTGCTGCACCTACATGACTGTCATTTCAGGTCTAGGCAAATAACTTTTAATGTTGTCAGGCTCTTTAATACTCTGTTCATTGCTTTAATGCTGTTGGATGTCCATTTTTAATCAACTCAGATTATATTTCTACAATTTTTAGCTTGTATCATTTTAAACCTTTTGTTGTAATTTTAAAAATTATTTTTCAGAAGCGATTCCAGGTACCTGTTGAAATAAACAATCGTGTGTGATAACCTTCCTAGTCAGCACAGTTTATCGGGGAGTTTTCAAGGCAGGCAAAAATGGAATTACCGGATCAGCATCAGAGTGAGAGAAAAAAAAAATCCACGTTTGAAGGGGCAAGGGGACATGGTCAATGCAGATCAGGCAGCCACAGAATGCAAGTTTCTCCAAACTTCCATTCCACAGACAAGGGTTTCTTACCATGACTAGAGCTCTCCTGGTGCCTTGATTTTTGCCAAGGTATTGCAGATCTCCTGCGGTTTATTCACACATGTATTGGTCATCCTTTACATGTGAAGACTGTGCTTGAATTTGTAGTAGGTGATAGGAAATTGTGCTTATGGCAATGAATCTGAAATGGCTTATTTCCTTTGTAACTACCCGTTCTATCCCAGATTTTGGGGGGGGGGGGGCAGGGGCATTTGAAGAAGGGATTCTTTTGGCCCTTTAGGGCCTTGGCAGGCACATTGGAAAACAAGCAGTTATTCAGATAGCCTGGTCCCAAGCTATGAAGGGCTTTAGAATAATTGAGCAGCATCCTTAATTGAGCTTGGAAATGAACCAGGAGTCTGCACAGAACGTGATCAAAACATTCAATCTCAGAACCCACCTTATAGCTGTATGTTTAATGTATTGCAATTTCTGAAGCATTTTCAATGGCAGCTGCATCTGTTCTGCATTACAATCATCTGTCATGTGGAAGTTACCAGGGCATGTATAACTGAGGCCAGGTTATCTGTCTGGATAAGGTAATAGCCCATGCACCAGGCTTAACACAGTCTGAAGTATCCCATGCCACAGAGGCATCCTGTAGTTCTGATAATAATGATGAATTGCTGAGCACCCCAATTTGGAAGAATGCAACTCCATCCAGTACAGCACCAACTAACCTGGGCAGATGACCCACCTACTAACAGGACTTCTGTCATGACTAGACTGAGCTGGTTGGCCACTATGTAAATAGAAAGCTAAAATAAGTGGACCTTGGTCTGATCCAGCACAGCTCTTACGTTCTCAGTTTCATTTTACTGGATCACATCCCATAAAGAGGCACTGTAGCTATAAGGTTAACTGGGACTCCAGAAATCTGGGTTCTTGTCATGAAGATCACTTGGTGCCTTGGGCCAGAGACACCCTCAGCCTAAGTTACCTCACAGGGATATTGTTGTGAAGGCAAAATGGAGAGGAAGGAACCCTTGTAAGCCGTTTTGGGTACTTTGCAAGAGGGGAAAAAAAGGCAGGGTATAAACGGTATGCAACAACAGCAACAAAAATCCAACCCATTACACTTACCTAGGCTGCATCATTTGAATCAGAAGAGTTGGAATCAGAAGAGTTGGAATACTTCTGCATGACATTCCACCCTATATTTCCAGATGACTTCATCAAAACCCCCTAATCTATTTCATGCAGCATGGGAGACAAATTAGAATCACATGGAACCCCTTAGTGTAAGCATCAGGGAGTCAAGCAATACTTCAGCCAACACCACTTTATGAAATTAACTCTTCAGGTAGACGTGTGCTTTTTACTGTCCTGTAAGCAGAAGAACCTCGTCCTCTTTGCAGACCCCATCCTAAGTCCTGCCCTCTGCCTTCTTCTGCCCTATCCTCCTGATGTAGGTAGGGCTGCCTGGCTGCTTCATACCATCCAGTCAACTGTCCTCAACTACAGGTCAGCTTGTTTGAACTCTCTGCTGTGTTTTATTACCAGCACTTGTCACATTTATTCATTTATTTAGGTATCTATATACCATTCATTAGCACACTCTCAGAACAGTGTGCAAAGATCCTATTAAAACAATAACAATACCAACATTCAATTTAAAAACAAGCATACCTGTCACAAAACTTCTATGTAACAACAATTTTTTTTTTCCGATTTATATCCTGCCTTTTTTCCTACAAAGGGCTCAAGGCAGCTTACACCATTCTCCTCCTCCATCTTATCCCCACAACAACAACCCTGTGAGGTAGGTTGGGCTGAGAGTCTGCGGCTGGCCCAAAGTCACCCAGTTGGCTCCATGGCCGAGCGAGGACTAGAACCCAGATCGCCTGAGTCCCAGTCCCGTGCTCTTAACCACTACGCCACACTGGCTCTCATGTATGATAATCAACAATAAAAAGGCAATACATAATAATAATTGACAATAATTTAAACAACTCTTCCATGTGTACCAGTAACAGTCTTAAAAAGCCAGTATAAAATCAGATAATATATTCAGCAATTAAAAGGGTGAGATAATATAAAGGTTTTAACCTGGCACCAAAATGTATGTACGGTCAGCACCAGGTATATCTCCCTGGCGAGCTGGTTCCATAATCGGGGCACCAGGACCGAGAAGGCGCTGTCCCTCATGGACACCCATTTCACTTCCTTTACAAGTGGCTCATGGAGAAGGATCTCAGTAGATGATCTAAGGGTCTGGGTAGGTGTATATGGGAGGAGACGCTTCTGTAGATATCTCAGCATTGTAGGAAGAGAAGCATGAGTAGCTAACTGCTCATGAGGGGCACCAATTAAACGTAGAACCAAAATAGCATTTCTGTTTTGCCTTCTGCACATTGTTCAAGCAGGAATGCCAGATTAGAAGATCAAGAATGGAACATACTGTGGACTCTAGAGATAATCATGGATTGGCTACTATTCTGTAATGGGGCCATTATTTCATTAGTCCATCTCCCTCAAGATGTGATGATAGACCACCTAGGGAGGCACAGACAGTCCTGTGCTGCAGCTCAGCTCTTATCTAGGCCCTTCCAGCCCCCTGTATATGATTGTAACATGACTGCCCCTTTTGGGCAGCCTTGCCTGGGCAAAGCACAGGACTTCTGGCAATGCTGAGGGTTACTAGGACTGCTCTGTATTAGCCACTGCTTTTTTACTTCTCTGGCTTTTACACTTCACTATATACTATAGTATTACTGTATATAGAATATAACAAATTTTCACTATACATTCACTATACACTATAGTTAATTTAACACTATATAGAATATAGAATAAATAAAACAAATTTTCTGTGATTTCTGCCCACTGGGGTAAAGATTTGATTTTGTAATGTTCAGGGAACCTGGACATTTCTTCCTGACCTAAAGAGAAAGAAATTATATCACAGAAATAGAACTGTGTGGATGAATTAGTCAAATGCTATGTCTTGAGACAAGTACCCCTATTTTTCTGTAGCATGGGCCACAAATGGAGAAAACTAAGTCAAGATATAGTTTATCATTTGTGTTCCTATTCTGGATAAAGAATGTACATTTTAAAATAAGGCTGCAATCCTATGCTCATTTTCCTAGAATCAAGCTCTGTTCAATAAAATGGAACTTATTTCTGAGTAAGCATACACAGGATTACATTTCGTCTGCCCTCTTAAATATATTTATGAATAAATTGACAGCGCCATCTAATATTCAAGTTCTGCCAACTGAGGGGCTCTAAGATTTGGCAGGAACACTGCTATACCAGTGGAACTTGAGACACAAAGCCAGCACAAAATGTATTCTGACAGAACACTCAGACGTG